ACAAGTCTCATCAAAATTTTCAAAATCCTTTTTTGCATGCATGCATTCCATATTTATATTAGTAAAAGTGACATGAAATGAATTTTATTCACAATTAACCGCTGTCCTGAACGTAGAAAAGCAATCATTTTTTAAATAAACAAGTTAACTGATATTATATAATAGCATCATGGCGCAAGGGGTAATCAACTCTGCACACTGTGCCGAAACACATTGTAACACTGATCGGCACGTCATACATGGCACACGAAGGCAAGTGTGATACAAAATATAATATTCAATACTTCAAAGTAAGGGGAAAAGGTAAATTTTGTTGACAGTGCCACTGCATTTTTTTGTCGTTTTTCCAGCTAAATGGTCCTCAATAATAATAAGATATTGTATAATTGACGAGACACTCCATGTCCTTATGCCTTTTGCGGAAAAAACCTCTACGGAAAGTCCACACGGCTTTTGAGAGATGTTCATAGTTTCGAAAGAATTTTTGTTTTTGAGGAAGCCCAAACGAATAAGCCGTAAAATGGGCTTGAATACATAACGTAACGTATGGCTCCAGATAGCCATAGAATCCGGACCGAGCGCCAATCAGGCTTGCTTCCACTCACTTCCTATAAAACATTATTTTTCGGAATTATGAAATCATTAGGTATTATAATGATAGCTAGTAGTTGTAAGTCACAAGATAATGTTGTAAACTAGATGTTTGACACATAAAACCTGTCATTATTGCTTTCAGTGCGTCACAATCAGCGATTTTACGACTCGTGAGCGCTCACTCTGAGTGAACGCTTACGAGTCATAAATTCGCTGACTGTGACGCACTGAAAGCGAAATTGACAGGTTTTATGTGTCAAATACATACCTTCCAACCTCTTCTTGTTTCTGACAAGTACAAACTTTCATTATAGCATCCAATTATTCCATAATTCCGACAAACATTTTTAATAGCGAAGTGAGTGGAAGTAACCCTGGCGCCAATTGTATGGGTAAGGAGAATTATAAATTTCAGTTACGATTGCAGGGCTCATGTACGATCTCAACAACAGCCCGGTGCCAAACAATCCTGCCGAACTGTGGAGGCTGGTGGAGTCAGTACATCCCGTATTCACTGACGACAACAGCAATAATAAGAAAGATGCTGCTAACAGAATTGTAAAATTAGATTACGGAGAAAATCTGACTCACGGTATTATTGAACGCAATTGGAACCACCAGCAGATTCAGGAAGACTAATATGCGATTCCAGCATGACCAAGAAAGGATATGAAATATGAAGGAACAACAAGCAGATACAAGGAAGTGATAGTCATCAAACGACTGCACCAGTAAGATCCTGGACCGATATTTGGATTCTGTTGGAAATTATTCGATGGGAGATGTGGATACACGTATAAAAAGTAAAAATTTGAGAGCCATGATGATAAAGAAGGGGAGCTTCGACCAGGAAATTGGAGCTCTGTTCATAGTGACTATGTGACTACTACTAGGTTTCAAAAAGGAAGCTCTAGTATGTGGAAATATTATAAGTTGAGTTTTGGAAGCGTTGGGAGAAATTTTCCATTTTTTGTAAATAACAAGAGAAAATATATAAACTTTTCTGCAGTCTGCTGCAAATAACATGAAGACTTCTTCCTTTAGCGGAAATGCTTGTGTCATCAGCGAACAAAGATTTGTGGCAACCCTGAGGCAAATCAGGGAGGTCAGAAGGGAAAATGTTATACAATATAGGCCCAAGAATGCTACCCTGAGGAACTCCTGCTCTAACAGGTAGTCGATTAGATTTGGAATTTTGATAATTTACCTGCAGAGTTCTGTCAGTTCAATAATTTTGAACTAATTTCATAATATAGAGTGGAAAATTAAACTTGTTCAATTTATATATAGAAGAGCAACTCCAGTTGAGTGGCCTTCAGATTTGTTTGAATGAATTAAATTGGTTACTCTTAAGAGTTGATGAGTAGTTGAATGCCCATGGCGAAATCCAAACTGCTCATCTGTAAAAATTGAGTTCGTATTGATGTGAAGCATCATTCTATTTAAAATTATCTTTTCAAAAATTTACTTATTGAAGAAAGCAAACTTATTAGACGGTAGCTAGAAGCTTCAGCTGGATTTTTATCCGGCTTCAAAATTGGAACAACTTTTGCATTTTTCCATTTATCAGGAAAGTATGCCAAATGGAAACATCTGCTAAACAATTTTACCAAGAAAGACAAGGTACTCTCTAGGATTTTTTGATGAGGATATAGAAAATTCCATCATCACTTCGAGCTTTCATATTATGAAACTTTTTAGTTATAGACCTTACTTCGTCCAAATCAGTCCCCCAGGAATCATCAAAAATATTTTCCCGAGAGAAAATATTCAGAAAATCCCGAGCAACCTGATTCTCAATAGGACTAGTAAGACCCAAACTGAAATTATGGGAACTCTCGAATTGCTTAGCAAAGTTTCTGAGCTTTTTCCAAATTTGTGATCAAAATTTTACCACCTTCTTTAAGCGCTGGAATAGGCTTTTGAGGTTTTTTCAAATTTTTTGTGAGTTTCCAAAAGTGTTTGGAACTCGGGTCTAACTTAAAAACATTATTTTCAAAAGTTTTGTTCCTCAGGGGAGAGAATCGCTTTATAATTTGTTTTTTGCAAATCCCGCCAGATAACTTTCATGGCAAACGGTGCCGGTGGTGTAGTGGTAAGCGTGATTACCTCTCACCCCAACAGGCCAGGGTTCAATCCCAGTCGGCGCCGCCGGGATGTTCTGAGGCATAACATCTCTGATCACGCCTTCCTTCGGATGGGAAGTAAAGCCGTTGGTCCCCGGTTCATGAGTTGATGAGTCGATAGGTAGGGTCCAGGTGTGGGAGCTGCCTTTCTGGCACGTCGGTAGCATTGGTGCTCAGCACGAAAAACAAGATCGACGGAAAAAAAAATAAAAAAACTTTCATGGCAGGATCGCGTGTTCTTTGATATTGTCTCCTACGGACATTTTTAAGACGGATCAAGAGCTGAAGATCGTCGTCTATTATAATTGTATCGAATTTAACCTCGCATTTTGGTTTGCAAAGGAATGTTTGGATCGAAGTTATATTCCATAATTGTTCGATATTGTTCCCAATCAGCTCTATGGTAATTGAAAGTAGAGCTGTTGGGATTGGAAATTATTTCTTGGGATATTTCAAAAGTTTCTGGAAGGTGATCAGAACCTAAGTCAGCATGGGCTACAAAGTTGACATGAATCAGTTAAGACCAAATCAATAGTTGAGGGATCTCTTGCTGAAGAAAAGCATGTTGGGCTGTTTGGATATTGAATAGTGTAATAACCTGCAGAACAATCATCAAACAGAATATTACCATTGGAATTGCTTTGAGCATTATTCCATGAGCGGTGTTTTGCATTAAAATCTCCAATAATGAAGAATTTAGACCTATGACGGGTAAGTTTCTCAAGGTCACCCTTGAGAAAATTCTTTTGCTGGCCTACGCATTGAAATGGCAAATAGGCAGCTATAAACGTAAGTTGTCCAAATTTTGTTTCAACAGAAACTCCCAAAGTTCCAAAAACTTTGGTTTCAAATGAAGAAAGCATTTTATGTTTGATTCGTGTATGAACAATGATGGCAACGCCACCACAGGGTCCATCAAGACGATCATTTCTATAAATGAAATAATTTGCGTGCTTCTTAACCTTATGATCAGGTTTAAGGAACGTTTCAGTTATAACGGCAATATGCACGTTATGAACTCTCAAAAAGTTAAATAGCTCGTCTTCATTATCTTTAATAGATCGAGCATTCCAATTTAAAATATTTAATGCTTAAAAATCCATTACTGAATTTTAAAGTCATGACAATATTGTTTGCAAATTTTTCTCCAGTTTGAATAGCATCAAACATGGAGTTAGATTTAAGCATATCAGAAATCATATCAATTAATGATTTCTGTAAAAATTCCATTTAAGGGGGAGTCATGCTTCCTAAGTCAAAATTGTCAAAATTTCCGTTAGAATTACGTTGGCTAGTATTTTGATTTCTACCCGCTGCAATAGCAGCATGGGTAGCTCCATTAACTCGCTGAACATTGTTAGCAGCGAGGGGAGTAGGCATAGGTGAAAAAATTGAAGCAGGGGTGATATTTGTACTTACGGGTACGAATGTAGAATTTGTTCCTCGCTGACCGTTGTTAACAGCAGAGTAATTTGTACCTGGTCGGAAACGTGGAACGTTTCCTACCTGTAGCTTAGAACGAGATTGAAGGATCGCTTTGCGAGTCTTACATTTCCAAAAATTGGATTTGTGGTTTTCACCACAATTTGAACATTTAAATTTCTTAGGATCTTCCTTCACAGGACAGTCGTCCTTTGCGTTAGAGGAATCACCACAATTCATGCATTTAGCTGACATGTAGCAATTTTTAGTTTCGTGACCCCATCCCTGGCACTTACGGCACTGAGTGAGGGTTTTTGAAATTTCCTCCAGTCTTCCTGAAGTGTTCCCACTTCACTCGGACATGGAGCATAAGGCTAGCTTTTTCTAAGGCCTTAAGGTTGTTTAGTTCACTAGACTTGAAGTGAACTAAATAAAAATCATTAGAAATCCCGTTGCGCGAATCGCCAGGACGGGATTTCATTTTCATTTTGATTATTTGGAGTGGCACAACTCCAAGTAATTTTGCCAGTTCATGATCCAGGGATTCACCACTGGGCAGTCCTTTGTGCTGCTTCTCAGTAAGATACATGAGAAGACATTTAAATCCGTCGAAGGTTTCAGCCAATACACGGCATTCACCCCGACGTCCAATTTGTAGTGAAAACTTAACTTTCACGAAGTTCAAAAGTTCCATGCGAAGAGCATGGAAATCGGAAGTGGTTATCACAATAGGGGGAATCTTTTCCTTCTTGGCATTAAGCCGGGAAAGTTTACTAGAATTTTCTTAGATGATGGATCATTCTCATCATCCGTGAGCAAATCAAATTTATTACTCAAATTAATTTCATCAGAAGGGGGATCAAGAGTTTGCCCCTTTTTTTAGCGTTTAGGCGCCATGGCGGCAGTAAATTTTTATCCAAATCGACTTCCAAGCAGATTACTATAAGAATCTGAAGGATCGAAATGGAATTTTCCAAATCGATATCCAAGAAGAATTACCTCAGGTAGGGTCCAAACAAGGATCGAAGAGGAATAATAGATAAACAAGGTAGAAATTTGACAGGTTGAGCACTGACAAGTGCTGTTTAAATTTGTTGTAGCTTTAGGTAGTAGTAACACTTCCTTCAGCAAAAAGCAAATAGATCCGTACGGCAAGAGAGCACGATGCGGATTGTTTCGTAAATGACTAATCTCAGTGGTTTCCTGAGTCTCCTGTTCAAAAGTTTTATACCATGAACGAAGTAGTTTACTCTACCATAAAAAATGAGGCCTTTTCAGACGAATTCAGTACCCAACCACGGCTACTGAAACTGGGAAGTTACTGCAGTCTACTGTCGCCGATATTTTAGGTCGAGTCTTTACTTCCTGTTTTTTAGATTGTATCATTTCCCGAGTAGCAGGATGAAAATGCATAGAATCTTCCACCGACGAACGGTTCATAACTTTGTTCTCCTGCTCCAGCTTCTGTCATCAGTCACACTTCTTTTTCTAACGGAGGGGCTGCATTTCGAGTGTCACCTCCTTTTAGCGAATGACTGGCAACGAATTCGTTTAATATTGAAATTTATCTTGAAATTTATGTTCTCATATTTTTTTGTTTTTCATATGCGAGAACTTGAAACTGTAAACAAATAAATCTTAAAAGTCATACCTGCAGGGATGCTAAACTCATGGAATACTGAGACTGATACCTTGATGGCCATACTTCGGTACGTTCGGCACAACGCTTGACCCAGCTTTCGGCACAGATAATGTACTCGGCACACATTGAAATGTGCAGAGTTGAACACCCCTTGTCATGGCGTAAATCTTCTGCAATTACTACATTACAAAAATGATTAATGTTATCTTCTTCTTTAAAATAGATTACAAATGGGTGAAGTAATGCAATAGGGTTGTTATCTGAATGCTTAAATAAAACAGCAAAACCATTTAATTCCACTTAATTTATTTTGGTACCCATGACAGATTTTGACTACAATGTGCAGTCTTCATCAGAGTCATTCAGACTAAAGACTGATCCCATAGGTTAAAATATCAAGGTCACAGGTATAAAAATGAAACTAAAACGATCGGAACCTACCTACCTAATAATAACCAAAGATTTAAGTAAAGTGAAGGAGAAATGATCATCATAATGAAGTAATGAAATTGGGTTGCTAGCGAAAACCCAAAACTTGATCTTCATAAAAAAATAACTCATATACGAAAAAAAAACATTATTATTATTATTTAATTTTATTCATCGGACTATTGTCTACATGAAACAACCTTAAAGCTAAAACAATTCAAGTGTTTCTAATCCGTGCCAAAAAGCGAGATGAAGATTCCCCAAATTCGAATAATTCTTCGACAGCCGTAAACGTACGCATCATAGTTGTTAGTGGTTCGTTGTAACCGAACGCCGTTTGATGGTACCGCGGTTGGAGAAGGGCACCACTTCGTAATGTTCTCGGTGGTACTCGGATATCCAACAGCGAGAGAAGCCTCGAGCAGTCGACCTCACCATTCAATAGCTTGGCAACAAAAACTGCTTGCTGATTTTTCCGTCGGCATTCCAGAGTATCCAAGCTCAGCAGATTGCAGCGATCAGAATACGGCGGGAGATTTTGCGGATCACGCCATGGTAGATTACGTAATGCTATCCTGATAAACTTGCGCTGAACACTTTCGATCCTCAAGCTCTAAGTCAACTGATGAGGAAACCAGACCAAGGAGGCATTTTCCAGGATTGGTCGCACAAGTGAGCAATAGAGAGCTTTCAGGCAGTGTGGGTCAATGAAGTCCTTCGATATTTTCGACACAAAACCTAGCTGGCGATTCGCCTTTGTGATCAGAGCAGAGCGGTGGAGGTTGAACGTCAACTTATGGTCCAGTAGAAAACCAAGATCGCTGAACTGGTCGGTTCTTTGAAGAACCACACCGTTGATGGCATAGTCAAAAACAATCGGCTGCCTGATGCGGTAATACGACATTACCATACATTTAGGAATGCTGAGGGTAAGCTTATTCCGACGACACCAATCAACGAACAGATCCAATACCGATTGAAGACGAATGCAATCCTCAGCAGTCCGCACCACGAAGTACAGCTTTAGGTCATCGGCATATGTAAGCTTACAGCCATCTCCAAGTAGAAGAAGTGCGTCGTTGATGTACAACACAAACAGCAACGGGCCAAGATTGCTACCCTGTGGTACACCTGACGAGTTCATGAAATACGAGGAAGTACTGGAATCGAGTTTCACTCGCAGAGACCTGTCAGTCAAGTAGGAACACAACCACGAAGTCAAACGGTCCGACGCACCGAGTTTGGATAGCTTTGCCAACATAATGACATGGTTGATCGTATCAAACGCTGCTTTTAGATCAGTGTTTTTGAGTTTTTGATATTTAACACATGAGCCTAAATTTTCAAGGAAAAATATAAAAACATATTGCGACCTCTGTGTACAAACCATAAAAACAAATACAATCAATGTTTTTCAATACAAAATCAATTTTTTACTAAAATTATATTTTTTTTATAAAAAGTGGTTTTTAAGACCTATCATTTGATATTTTGATCTTTGGAATCGGCTCAGTGGTTCAAAAGTCATGAATTAAAAAAAAAAGTCATTTTTGTTTCGTTAATTTCTATTTCATCGATCTTGTTTTTCGTCGATCTTGTTTTCCATACTGAATAGCAATGCTCCCACACCTGGACCATACCTATCGACCCAATGAGCATAGCAATGAACATATTTTCATGGACGCAATTTTGATTTTGAACGAAAAAAACTGCTTTTGAATTTTTGAAAATTAACTGTATTTGTTGCTTGGATTTAGTGCATCATTTAACAACATAAACTACATCACACAAGGCATGGATATGCGATCTCAGTTTCTAAATTTTCCACCACAACGAACGCAGCAGGTGCCGAAAAAGGCTGGAATTCGATTTCTTCCCAGCGGGATAACCGAGTAGGGGGATTTTATTACCTTCATTCGACCGTAGGAACAACCCGAAAAACCAACGTCAGATTTTGTGGCAAATTAATTTACAACCCCACAATCAGTATTATTAGATTAGGGTACGTTCTCCGTCAGCCTTTCTCACAGTTCCACAGGAATTGAAGAGGGGGTGGTAGAATGATGCCACAGCTTTTACAGCGCATAGATTTCTTTGACGCGAAGTGGCTGAACATAAATAAGCTCAACCGCTACTGCTGCTGGTGAGAAGAAGAGCGTTTCGATGTATAATTTTGCATGCGATGAAACACGGGCATAATGGATGTAGAAGCAGCGGATTATCACCGATTATAGTGCTAATCATAATTATGATTGCTAAAGATTTTAAATTCTTGTGGTGACATTATGCAACATTTCACTAGAATCCACCTGAAACCAAGCTAGATATTAAAGCATCCTTCCAATGGCAAAATCTTTGGTTTACCTAAGTGTTGAAATAATGCCCATATCGTTGATATTTTTCTCATCAGTAATGTTGTGCATGGACATGGACGTTCAAGCCGCACGCTAAACCTCAAATTATCTAAAACCACAAGTAGTGCTGTTGCATTAAGCCCTAAATCTAGAGTATAATCACTCGTGCATGCTGTATGTAATGTGCCGAACCAGACTGATAATCGGTTAGCGGTTAAACCGGATACCACCGGAGTGTTTACATATTGATTATGCTAAATGAAGATTTATCTCTCGGTTGACTTGATATCCTTGCTCGGTTCACGTGTAGTGTTGGATTGTCGGTCGGTTTACGGCGCGCGACTAGATATGCCTAGAACTTGGTGTTGCGTGTAGGAGTGAATGTTGAAGATAAAATTGATTACTGGAGTTCTGTCAGCATCATGTTGGGAAAAGGGTTCAAGTGATGACGGATGTGTAGTTAGGGTGTATTCTGTCATACTCTGTTCTAAATGGAGTCCCATGATGAAGGTAAACACAAGTACGCGCAAAATAAGTGCATCCTATCCTAATGTCAAGCATCTCTTAACGTCTTAAGCAGTAATTTTATGATATGAATCTCGTTGCTACTAGGAAAATTCTACTAAATGTACCGGATAGATGCTTTTAGATGTATTTTCTAGAGAAACAAAATCAAGAAGTCGTCCTCCCAGGCCACCCATCCGGTTTGTCTCGGCTTCCATGAAAAAGGCATTAAAAGATTAGCATCACTTGTGTAATCTCCTCGTTGACAAGGGAGGGAAAATGTTTTGCAAGCTGAAAAACAGTAGGCGAGCAAAAAATACAGTGGTGGCAAAAGGCACATTATTTGCGGTTGTTGGTTTTCCCTTTTTTTCGTTTTTTTTCTGTTTCTAGATGTGGTCACAACAATACTGTCACTAAGCCGGAGGGAAGCAAGTCAGCAAATGACTCCAGAAGATGATATATTTTTGTGAATTAAATGGTCTGCGGGACTGATTTTGTTGTTGTTGCTTTCATTGTAATGGGAAGTAACAAGTGGATTGTTTAAATGATCTTTATTTTTAGTTTAACTTGGACGATTACCATATAAATTTTTACTAAGTGATTTAATTGCTTTCTTCATCTTTAGGTATGGGCAAAATTCAAAATTTGTTTTACAGAATTAGTCCTAGACTTAGTACACGGTCGACCACCTTGGTGGGATTGGTTTGTTTTGTTTTTAGAATTTGAAGAGAAACTACTTAATACTACTATTTACAGCTTAAAACTAACCTACTCTACTATATACACTTAACCTACTATGTACAAATTGCTTATTAAAGCATGTTCAGAAAGATTGCATTTTTGAATAAATTTAGTTGTCATATCATCAATTTTGGAATCTACTTTGGGAATTTCTGCCTCTTGATGGAGGTCTGCTATTCTTGTGTCGAATGGACG